AATTGAGACCTCAGTTTCCACTTCTGTGCTGTGGAGATAGATAGTGGGCCGTGTTCCCACTGCTTAGAATTTCTTCTCTTGCGGCCCTGGTCTCAGACCCAATCCCACCTCCTCTCTAGGCTAGATGTCTTGCCTGAATATGAGGATAAGTCTGTACCTCTTAATTGTTAGCCCTAGTGGCCCAGAAGTCACAGAAGAAACATGAATTACTGTAAGGACCTATTTAAGGATGACCTAGGCTTTTGTACCTTTTTATCTTGAGGCCCTCTTCAACTCAATTTCTGAAAGATTGTTAACCACATCTCAGTTTTCTCTTGGAACTTTTTTTTTTTAAAAAATCCTTACCTGTTCACCTGAGGATATGTTTTTATTGATTTCAGAGAGAGAAGAAGAGAGAGAAACATCGTTGCCTCCTGTATGTGTCCCAACCAGGGATCGAACCCACAACCTTTTGGTGTAGGGGGCAACGTTCCAACTGATTGAGCCACCCAGCAAGGAATCTCTTAGAGCTTTTTCAGAACTTCTTTCAATCCCTTCCGCTAATCTTTAGTAACCTTCATTTGGGAGTGAATACTATTATCTGTTGTCTTGAATACAGTAATTCTCGGCACTGTGAACTGTTTGGTGTTAGTTGGTGAGGAGGAATTAAACTGTCCCATAACGTATTTGCAAAGCTATAATAGCTTCCAAAGTCACAGTTCCCTTTTAACTGAACATACTGCTCTCTCCCAAACATGAACTATTCAAATCATTCTCTGAAATTCCCTAATAGGATTCACCTAAGAAGAAAAGAGAGGAGGGTTGATAAATCTGTAAAGTGCAGAATAGAATCTGTTCTTCCATTTCATGTAAACTGAGAATGATCTCTCAATAATTTGATTTTGTCTGGTAGCATATGTTACAATGAGAATTTACTTGCAAAATTATAATTGAAATAATTTTTTTAATTCTCAGATTTCTGCACTGAGTGGCCAGCTGCACTAGACAGTGATGAAAAATGTGAGAAGCATTTTCCAATTGAAATTGACACAGCTGATTATGTTTCATCAGGACCATCTATTCGAAACCCCAAAGCACGAGTAGTAACCTTAAGGGTAAGAGATAGTTTAAAAAAAAAAAGAATTATTATAATACATTACTTAAAAAGATATCATTTTGTATGTATTATTATAAAACTGGTACATATTTATTATAGAAAATTTAGGCATATAAAAGTGTTTGGAGAAATCTCCAAAAGGATCAACTAAAATGTCCTAGCATGCAGATGTTGGTCTCTAAACACTAATGTCCACTAAAAGATATCAGAGATCCTTGGAGAAATAGCTAAATCCAGGTCTGGGATAAGAAATACTTGAGGTGAGACTGGGCCATCTTGTGCCAGAGTGCAAGAAAATTTTCCAGGGCTAATGGGATTATAAAGAAAAGGCCATAGGAACCAACTTAAAACAGTTCCCACAGACTGAAGTTAGGATATAGAATAATTTTATTTGATCAAAACTTACTGAACATACCCACCTACAGATTACCTGTTGAAGAGAAAAGCAAAAAACAGGTAATTTCACAATGGAAAGATCAGGTTGTGAGCCTCTAAGCCTAGTGATCAATTTCAGCATACTAAGAATGAGGCAACCAAAAGCTGTGTACGCTCATGTAATGTAATATAAAATATATAGCAATGTCTGTCAAGTGTCCCCATCAAATCATCTTACTGTAATCTAATCAGTTTCTTAAATCTAACTTCCACTTTATATGAAATAGAAGAGATAGAGGAATAAGATAAATAACATGAAGATACATTCAGACCAATTGAGAAGGTAGGAAATGCTACAGGATAAAATACCTACCACTTTAAGAAGCCTGTCATTGGGGGAGTGGGGAGTAAAAAGAGGAGTAGGGAGGCCCTTTGCTGTTCTAGAGTTAAAAAGATGTAAGAAACATGACAAGCAAATGCAACAGACTTTGATTAGATTCTGGTTTAAACAGAAACTATTTATGAGGGGTGGAGGGGATCAATGAGGGGAAAAGGAGACATCTGTAATACTTTGAACAATAAAGATAAATTAAAAATAATAAGAAAAAAAACATTTTGGTGAGACAATTTGGGAAATTTGAGTGTGGAGTAGATATTTTAGATGATATTAAGAAATTATTCAAACTTTTGTTAGCTGTATTAATTACATTGGAATTATGTAAGAAAATCTCTTTTAATTTATAGAGAACACTGAAGTATATTAGTGTAAAATGTCAGAAATTTGTAATTTTAAAGAAACACTTAAAACCACAAATACATACACGTGTGTGTTAATACATGAAGCACTCAATATTTTAAATTTGTCAATATTAAGTACTAAAGTTGTCATGTGTGTTTATTATACTACTTTCTCTATATCTCCATACATTTGAAATTTTTCATAATAAAAGTTTCAGTAAAAAACAGAATTTGGCAAAGTAGCCAAGTGAAAAGTTATAAAATAACTATGTCATTTTTGACAAAGGCTGCAAGATAATTCAATGAGGAAAGAATAGTCTTTTCAACAAATAGTGCTAAGACAGTTGAGTATGTATGTGTAAAAGAAAGAAGTTGCACCCTTACCTTACACCATATAAAAAAATTAATTGAAAGTAAATCATAGACCTAAATGTAAGAGACAAAACTATAAAACTCTTAGAAGAAAACATTGGACTAAGTCTTCCTGACTCTGAATTACACAGTCGTTTCTTACATATGGCACCAAAAGCACGAGACCAAAAAAAAATACATATACTAGGCTTTATCAAAATTGAAACTTCTGTACTTAAAAAATACACCATCAAGAATGTGAGATGACAACTCTTGGAATGGGAGAAAATATCTGCAAGATATCTGATAAGGAACTGGTACCCAGAACACATAAAAAACACAACAATGAAAACATAAATTACTCAATTAAAAGATGGGCAAAGGATTTAAATAGACATTTCTCCAAAGAAGATATGCAAATAGTCAATAAGCACATGAAAAAATGCTCAACATCATTAGGAAAGTGTAAACCAAAATCACAATGAGATACTACTTCATGCCCATTAGAATGGCAAAAACTAGAAGGTCTAACAGTGGCAAGAACTGAAAACATGACCATATAAATATGTACATGAATGTTCTAGCAGCATTACTCTTAAGCCAAAAAGTGGAAACAACTCAAATGCCTACCAACTGATGTATGGATAAATAAAAATACGGTATATTCATAAGATGGAATATTATTTAGAAATACAAAGAAATGAAGAACTGATACATGCTACAACAAATGAGACACTGAAAACATTTTAAATGAGAGTATTCATATTGTCGGATTCATTTGTATGAAATGTCAAGAATTGGCAAATCCACAGAGACAGAAAGTAGATTAGTAATTAACAGGCTAGGGGGTGAGGAAGAATTAAAAACAACAATATTTGTATAGGACTTTACTTTAGAAGTGCTTTCTTCTATTTGATCTAATTTATTCCTGGCAAAAATCCTGTGGATCTTTTCTGTTTATAAATGAGGAAACAGGAAGATCAAAGGAATTGTTTAAGGTCAGTTAGCCAATAAGTAACAAATCTAGAAATCAACCATAATTCTTGTGTTTAGTGTAATACCAGAGTTCTTTAACTGCACTATATTTATAAATAGAGAAGCTATTTCACACATTTAGACATTGCTCAATTTATGTAGCTCTTTTAAATATGGTCATTTGAATATACACATATATAACCACAACCTCCTGTGATTTTAAATGTCAACATTGTTTTGGGGATAATGTTAATAGTACAATATTGATTCTTTAAATATAGCAACTTGAAAAAGAAAAGCCTGAGGATTCTTTCAAGTTTGGAAAAAAGAATGACAATGAATGCCACTCAACTTCCAAATCGTGTCATTATCCAGGTTAAAGACTACAGTTTTGCAGTGCCTTTGAGTGCTAGCAGGTGGCGTGAGTGTACCACACAACTGTGTCTGAAATGTTTGAGTTCCTAGCATAAACTCTATAATTTTTGAACATTAAAATGTTAATGTAAATGAGTTTTAAAGCAGTTGTTATAATAACAATCAGCACTACTGCCATTTTTTTAGACTGCTTTTTAAGTACAAAGCTAGAACACTTAAATTTTTTAAATTATAAATTTTAAAATTTATTGTTAAACATTATGATTTCATTGAAGAGAGTTTTTAAAAGGAAAAATCTCTACATTTTCACTATCCTAATGTAAAAACTATTTGTTTCTCTTCTGTATCTGTGCATATATTTTCATAATTATGATCATAATGTAGGTCCATTTTATGATTTTCTTATAAATAATTCTCCATATTGTTAATCGGAGTTGCCATAAAATTGCTTATTTTACCCCTCAAGCTGATATCCTGGTTGATGATGCATATTGTTTCCAGGGGACTATGGTAATTCAAATTGTCTTCAGCGTGCAACCATTCTATTGGATTAATAGTTAATAGTCAATGTTTTTACTACTTATGTTTTTCACAAGTACATTTATATTCATCTAGTTGTTTTCTGTTTTCTGTAGTTCAAATAAAAATTCACAGTGCTTAAAAAAACAATATACCCTCCCTTGTTTTCACTTGGGTATTCATTCGCAAATTTGTGTTATGTGCTTCTTAAGTCCTAGGCCATTGCTAAGAACAAGGCAGGCATCATTCTTACCCTGGAGTTTGCAGCCTAGTGGGAAAAAAGGAAAAGTAGATAAGCTCTTCTGCTATGCTGTCTTTAGGGAAGTGCAGGGTTATTGAAGCTAGAGAGAAGAAATGGGTGGGATTTTAAAATCTTATTTAGCCTTTTTTCTTCTCCATACAGTATGACTCTCTTATTCTTAATGCTTTCCGTGGGAAAATAATGTGTTTACCTTATTTAACTATATTCTAGTGTCTAACTTATTCTCCTGTGTGCAGCCTTTTCATCTCTAGCTAATGCCTTCAGCCATGCCGTAATTCTCTACAGATTAACAAGTGTGTTCAGTTAGTCTATCATTTCCCACAGTATGTTTCAAGGAAGACTAATTCCATGAATTATCCCTTGAAAAGTGTAACCTGAGGCCAAATAAATGTGGGAATCATTACATAACAACCCTGCATCTGAAATTTCAGAATGTTTACTACTTTATATAGCATATTACCTCCTCTAAGAAATCCTGCCGTAGAGAACCCTATTAACTCAGCATTTCCTGAATGCATTTAAAACACGTAGCCTTTTTAAAGAAATAATTCTTCTTAGCAGCCTGTGGGACTAGCATTGTCATTTTGAGAAATATTGAGGTATATTATTTCAACTGTTTTGCTCCTTTGATGCTGCATTCCAGCCTCCGTGAGAGATCTGTAGCTTTTAAAAAATGCCCCTAAACTAGTTGGAATGATACGGGTCTCATAATTGCAGGGTAGGAATTTCTTAAAGTCCTTATGTTTTATCAATTTATTACTATATTCCAGCTTTACTAATACTAATTGAGTTTATTTCTATTAGTTACTGCCACTCATAAGCACCCTAATTTTTTTTATTTAAGACATATGCCATTGATTCTTTCTGGAAAGGTACTAATGCCCTGAACGTTCAAGGAACACCAAATAGTTTGCTCCCTCCCTTTTTTTCCTAAGTAAAACAGGCTTTATAGTGCATGCCAGTTGCTAACTCTGGATAGAAAGGAGTTTGAAAAGGTTCCCTTTTGCTCATTTTAATGTTAATTTAAATGATATTACTACTGTTTTTTCATTAAACAAAGCATATGAAATGATCTTTTTTTTAAATAATTTTTTTCTTGTGTTTTTAAGGTTAAACTTTCCAGTTTGAATTTAGATGATCATGCAAAGAAGAAACTTATTAAACTTGTAGGAGAGCGATACTGCAAGACCACAGATGTGCTTACCATCAAAACGGATAGGTAAAGAAGAAAAGTGCAGCCAATCAGCCACGTGTGTTGCTTTATTGACCTCCCATCCCCTGGCAGTCCTTTTTTAAGAAATGACATTGAAAATAAGGATAGCCTTTTATATCAACTTCTATAGCTTTGTTAGGTCAAGAGAAGTTGTCTGCTTTAGTTATGTATATATTTTAATCCTCACCTGAGGATATTTTTCCATTACTTTTCAGAAAGAGTGGAAAGGAGAGAAAGAAACATCAGTGTGAGAGAGACACATCGATTGGTTGCATCCCACACACTCCCTGACTGGGCAAGGCCAGGGATTGAGCCTATAACCAAAGTACATGCCCTTGACTGGGAATCGAACCCAGGACTTTTCAATCCTTGGGCGGATGCTCTAACCACTGAGAAAACTAGCTAAGGCTCTAATTTATATTTTTAATATCTTTATACTAGCCTACTGTGATCTTGATATACATGGAGAGGCTTTCCTTGATGAGTTAATTATTGTGATTTCTTTTTTAACTATGATTTTAATACATCCGTGTATATAAAACGCAGGGAAGATGTTAGAAGAAAACAAAAGTGTGATGAATGCTCAAACAGGCTTTTACAAAGTCAAAGTGAATAAAAATCTTGTAGTTCACAATTAAAATTATTAAATTAACTGGAAATTTATCAAAGTACTTGTGTAAATAACCAGAATTTTAGTGCTAGCATGCAAGTTCATAAAAGCAGTATTGAATTTATATATGAATTAAGTCATTTGAAGTAAAGAAAGATTATTGTTATGTTTTTACTAAGTGGTTACTTTATTTCTAGAATTATACTTTGGTTGTTTCTAAATTATGTCAAAATATAAAAGACATGCCTTTAGAGAAAAGCAAGTGGACAGCTGTCCTCTCTTCCTCCCTGTCAGTTTCAGGGCATTTGGAGGTGTCATTGCCAGTTAGGTTTTATATCTTGCTTGGGGATGAAAGTAGCCTGACACACATGAGAAAGCAGCATGTGGAGGTGGGAGAAGCTCAGGAACTATGACTTCAGATTATTACTATTGGAGGGAAAAATTGATTTAAAATGTATTAGTTATATTCTTTTCACTATCTTTAGAAAGTGTGAAATAATGTTGTTTTTAGTTAGTCCAACTTAAATACCTTTTAAATGTTGCTGTTTGAAATTTTATAAGTATCTGATAATGTTGCTTTTTTTCCTTAAGTTTACAAGTTTCAGTCTGTGTATATGTTTTATGGTATTTAGAGTAGAGAATTCTTAAACCTAAATAGAGAATAAATAGACTAGAGTTAAAGTCATTTGCCATAGGATGGTTTTATTTTATATTTAAAGAAATTGGAAGTAATTGTTTCCTTTTGTATATTTTATTAATCTAAAAAGTAAACATGCCATCTCATATTTATGTACAAGTTTTACTGAATATTAGGTCATTGATTCTGTTTTAATACAATAGCAGCAATACATCATTATATAGTGTAGCTCATTTTTAAAAGAATTGGCTTTGGGCAAATCAAGATGAACATTTTTAAAAAAAATATATCTTTATTGATTTCAGAGAGGACGGGAGAGGGAGAGAGAGAGAAATGTTAATGATGAGAGTCATTGATCGGCTGCCTCCAGCATGCCCCCTACCGGGGATTGAGCCTGCAACTGGGGCATGTGCCCTAACTGGGAATTTGAACCACGATCTCCTGGATCCTAGGTCGATGCTCAACCACTGAGCCACGTCCAGCCAGGCAAGATGAACATTTAGATTAGCACCTATCATCAATCTATCTCTGTTTTTTTAAATGAACTCAGCATATATGCTCACACTGTCCACCAGACTCTTAGCTCTGAGATCATGAAGGGCACTTGGGTTGGACCAGATCATATTAAAAATAGCATAAAGCTATTATCAGATACAAATAATTCCATTAGTTTTTGAAAGCAAAGAGATACTTGAAATAAAAATTTAAGAGTTCTCAGTGTCTTTAAGTAGTGAATTACATAGACTATTCCTTTCTAAAAGTCGAATTTTCTTACATAGACTATTCTTAATCTAAGAACAGAATTTTCCTAAAGCGGATAAGGAATACCTGAATATAAGTTGTTCTTTGTATTTAGTATTTATCTATCTTGCAAATAATCTTTTTACTGGATTTTTAGGGTTTTCACTTCCTCTCTCTCTTTTGAAGGTGCCCTTTAAGGAGACAGAATTATGATTATGCAATGTATCTGCTAACAGTTTTATACCATGAGTCTTGGGTAAGTGATTGTGTATGAATGTTTAATCATTTTGTCAGTGTAAATGAGGTGATGTTTTAACCTTTCGAAACAGTCTGTGTGGCAATTACTCAGTTGCATCTTTAATCAACCACTGGATACACTAAGGATATATGAAATATTATAGGTAACTCCTACTGACATTGAAATCGAGGATCTTAAAATAGATTATGCAGTTTTTCTCAGGACCTCACAGAAATCAGATGACTAAAATACCTTTGAAATTCAGAGTTTCTGACTTTGGTTGGAAAATTCAGAATTTTTAAACTCTTTTGTTTGTGTCTTTAACTTTGGATGAAAGTTGTCAACGTTATGGAAGGATAATCATCATCTGTATAACTTGAGAATTTATAATTTATCCTGTTATTCAAATAAACTGCAGAATAAAGCTCCATAGAAAGGTATTTTAAATTTTTACTAAGATTTTAGTTAACACATAGCATTTTGTGTAAACATTTCACTGGTATACATTAGAGACAATTAAGGGCAATTAATTATTTAAATACTATTAAAAATAGTCCTGTGACTGACGGAAAGTTTTAGTATATGCATGCACATTTATAAGGGAGATATTGCTATGTTTGAGCATGAGCACATCTGATTTAAAGTTGGCAACATGTTTAGGTAAAAATTGAAATAATTTTAGATATGCATACAAATTAAGAAATGAAGGAGAGATTAAGTACTTCCCCCAAGTTTATCGTTTATTATCAGAAGACCTCAGGCCTGAACTGGTATCATATTACTTAGTTGTGTTTAACTTTGACTTCTGTTATAAAATACTATGGTAAAAGATGAAATTAAACCTGAGCGTTAGCTGCTAGTTTGCTGTCTTTTCCAACTTAACTGACTAATTGAAAATGTGTCTATCTCCATGACCAGTTTTTGTTGGGCTTGTATCATACTCACCTGTGAAGGAAGCTTTTTCAAACTACAGATGCTTGGACCCTATAGAATCAAAATCTCTAGTGGAGAGGCTCAGGCGTGTTTGGTTTTAAAGACTCCACAGGTGATGCTGATGCTGAGCTCTGCTTGTGAATAAGTTTCCCAGTTTTTGAGTGTTATTAATAAAGAAACTGACCAGAAGGTTGGTATATCTCTCTCTTTTCTTTTTAATATATCTATTGATTTCAGAGAGAGGAGGGGAGAGAGAGAGAGAAACATCAATGATGAGAGTCATTGATCAGCTGCCTCTGCATGCCCCCTGCTGGGGATGGAGCCTGCAACCCAGGCATGTGCCCTGACCGGGAATCAAACCACAATCTCCTGGATCCTAGATCGATGCTCAACCACTGAGCAACTCCCAGCCGGGCGTTGTATCTCTTTTAAGGTGTTTTTTTTTACACATATCTAGTATCGGAGCTGAGGGTGCAGATGGAAATTTGAATGAGAGGTCAAGAAAATGGAGAGGTTTTCCCATCATACAGACACACGTAGGCTTTTTCATTTGATGTGTTAGGCTATGGCAGCTGTTCCAGATTCCTGAGGGGGATGATAATACATTGAAGGTGACACTTCTTGTGTCTCTTTGCCTTCGGGGAAGACTTCATTTTACTTCTCATGTTCAAGAGCTTACCATGTACTTAAAGACCTTTAGGAAAAGTTGTATTCTTTCCCACCCCGTGGCTGAAGTCAGGAACCTGAGCATTACACTCTTTTCTTCCCTTGCCCTCTCCGATATTTAATCAGTCACGGTCTTTTCAGCTTTAAGCCTTCAAATATCTGTCAAACTATTTTCTCCTCTTTATCCCTACTGCTGCTAGTCTGGGTCTTCATCTTTTACCTGAAAAACTGTAATAGCCTTATTGATTTTCCTGTCTCATCTATCTTCCATGTTGCTGTTAGAGTAATTGTTCTAAAAAACAAGTCTGTTGTGTCATGTTTCTTTATAAAGTCCTTCAGTGGTTCTCCATTACCTAGGATTAAATCTAAGCTCCTCAGCGTGTCTGTTCACAGTCACTTGCCACTTTATCATCAGCTGCTCAGGAAATGTGGGTTGTATATCCTATACCTCAGCCATAATGATCGTAATGTGCTCTTTTCATAACTTTACATATGCTATTCCCTTTGCTTATAATCTTCCCCCCCCCCCC